AAAAGCAATTTAAAAAGTTACCGGAAACCAGATCACTTACCCTTAGTTGGGCCTCACTGCTTGGCAAGCAGTATCTGGAGGCCTTGTTGCGCAGTTTGGCCTTTGGTAGTGGCACTACTGCGAAGTGTTGGGCGTAATTGCCTTCCCGCTAATCACTAACCTTTGATGGTTGCTTTGCTGCTTTCCGCGTTCACCGCGCTGTTGCCACTTACACTTGCTCTAACACAATTTTTCTCATTTGATTTTTATTTCTATTTTAATAATCTATTTTTCGCTTTTTAATGCTTTATTTTTTTATTTTACCTCTTTTTTCACTTATTATTTAATTTTTCACATTTAATTTTCTTTTTAAGGCCTTTTCTTTCACCTTTTTTTTCACTGTATTTTTCGTTTTAAGGCTTTTTTTTTACCTTTTATTTCACTTTTAATTTTCTTATTGAAGGGCTTTTTCTTTCACCTTCTTTTTTTCACTTGTATTTTTCGTTTTAAGGCTTGTTTTTTTGAGGCTATTTTTCCATTTTAACTAATTTTTTCACATTTAAATTTTCTTTCTAAGGCTTTTTTCAATTTACCTTTTATATCACTTTTTATTTTCTTTTTTAAGGCCTTTTTTTCATTTTATCTTAATTTTTTCACATTTAATATTTTTCTTTTTAAGCCTTTTTTTCACCTTCTGTTTTCACTTGTATTTTTCTTCCTAAGGCTTTTTTCAATTTACCTTCTATTTCACTTTTATTTTTCGTTCTAAGGCTTTTTTAATTTATCTTCTATTTCACTTTTAATTTTCTTTTTTAAGGCCTTTTTTTCATTTTACCTTAATTTTTTCACATTTAATTTTCTTTCTTAAAGCCTTTTCTTTCACCTTTTTTTTCCAGTGTCTTTTTCTTTTTAAGGCTTTTTTACCTTCTTATTTCTCACTCATATTTTTCGTCTAAGGCTTTTTTCAATTTAACTAATTTTTTCACTTTTAATTTTCTTTTTTAAGGCCTTTTTTTATTTTACCTTAATTTTTTCAGATGTAATTTTCTTTTTAAGGCCTTTTCTCTCAGCTTCTTTTTTTCCACTGTATTTTTCGTTTTAAGGCTTTTTTAATTTACCTTCTATTTCACTATTAATTTTCTATTTTCACGGCCTTTTCTTTCATTGTAACTTATTTTCTCACTTTTAATTTTCTTTTTTAAGGCCTTTTTTCATTTTACCTTCTTTTTTCACTTTTATTTTTCGTTCTAAGGCTTTTTTAATTTACCTTCTATTTCACTTTTAATTTTCTATTTTTCACGGCCTTTTCTTTCATTGTAACTAATTTTTTTACATTTAGTTTTCTTTTTAAGGCCTTTTTTACCTTCTTTTTTACACTTAACTTACGTACGATACAAAAGTCTTCTTTCCAACATTTGTATTTTTTCGCCGTCCTTTTGCTATCGTTTCTCTTTTTATATGTTAACTAAATGATTTTGGCGGAAATGGTCGCGTTCCGTTCCTTTTCCACTGGACGGCGGGCAGAGTTGTTTTTTATTTTTCAGCTTGCAGATCGCGCCACTTGGCAAGAATTTTTAGTGAAGAAATATCCCAATGAGCGCGCGACTTGGCAATGTGACGAAGTTCTATATTTGATTATCCTTTTGTGAAGATGGTATTTTCACAAAAGTATAATCTAAATATAGATACTTTTTCGATTCTTTTGTATTCTCACAAGAGATGTGCCTTCCTGATGGATCCGGCTCGAAGGACCATGTTTCGTATCGGGGCTAATTAGGGGCCGGAATTCCTCTTGATTTCTGGCAACGGGGATCGGGGGAGGTGCCGGTCCTTCAGGAAGCTGAAAACCTTTCTAAATGCTTGTCGCCAAGCTCTCAATAAAACATTGGTTTATTAAAAAAGGTATTAAAAGTTTATTTAAAAGGTATATATATAATATGTATGGAAAACCTACGTAACAAATACTCTCACCTGAGATGTTGCTGCTGTGGCTGCTGGATCAAAAAAAGGACTTCAGGCCGGCAACATTGGCCTTTTAAAAATTTCCACAAAAGGTGGAAATCCTAAACGGGACTAACTGGACTAACTGGACTTTTCCCATATATTTGAAGAGTCACTTAGTCGAGAACAGAAGACAGAAGACAGCAGCGACATCTCCAGGTAGAGGCTATGGCTGCTGCTCAGAGTTGCACGCGTAAACATACAATTTTTTAAAACTATCGTTACTGACTAGTTACATACGTTTGTGCGTGGAACTATTTGAATAAGATGCATTTGTATGCACTCTTATGCGTTTAGTTCTAATGCTCGTTACAGTGCATTATAGTTTCTATGTTTATGTTTGTACATATATATAAGAGTGTGTGTTTGCTTATGTTGTATGTATGTATTTATGTATTTACATACATGTATGACATGTGTATGATGTACGCTAATGTAATGTATGTATATCCTTATCGGCATACAATACTTCTTGATATTACTTATCTAAACTAAACATGTTCAATGATATTTGAACAGATGGGAAGCACTTCTTTCTGGGAAGTGGACCAGGGACTGACCTATTCAAAAAAATCTTACTTATGGTTCTCTTTACTTGAAACTCGGTGTATAGGAAGCCCATACTTCCTTTTAGAAAAAAAAATTGGGTTGAGATTCGATTTACAATACTCGAAACTCGATACCTAGTTAGTTTTTGCTTAAGTCATCAAGAATACTACACTTTTGTCCGAAAAGTAGACAAGGGACTGACCTTACTTCTCGGTAAATCGGTATCTTTTTGCTTAAGTTAACAGGAATACTACACTTCTCTTCGAAGAGTGGACCAGGGTCTGACCTATTCAAAAATCTTATATGTGGTTTGATCTACTTGAAACTCGGTACATACGCTGCAATTTACTCAGAAAAACAGGAAAACTTTTCTTCTCTCCAGTACGTGGAACAGGGACAGCCATAATCAAACAATCATATTGGTGGATCGATTTTCTTGATTAACGGAATGACTACATTTCTCTCTGGAAAGTGGGCCAGCTAAATTGGTACATAGCTGGCTTTTGCTTTAGTTAACGAAAAGCTACACTTCTCTCCGGAAAGTGGACTAGGCATTGACCTCTTCGAAACAAATATTTATGGTTCTTCTGGCTTAAAACACAGCACTTCTGCCTGGGAAGTGGACTGTAGACTGACTTATTCGTAAAAGGTGAATTTATAGTTGGGTTTTCTTGAAGATCGTCGCATAGGTAGCTTTTTATTTCAGTTAACAGGAAGGCCACTTTTTTATTCGGAAAGTGGACTAGAGACTGACCTATTCAACCAATTTTATTTAGGGTTCTATTTACTGTTAATTTGGTGCATACGCATTACATATCAGATTCAGCTTATACTTCTTTGCAGAAGGTAGACCAGAGCCTCTCCTTATTTGTAGTTCAATTTACTTGAAATTCGAAACATATGTTGCTTTTAGCTTAAGTTCACAAGAAGAATACACTTCTTTTCGGAATGTGGACCAGGGACTGACGGACTGACACATTCGAAAAAATCTTACATACGTTTCCATTTACTTGAAGCTTGGTACATGGGTAGCTTTTTGCTTAAGTTAACAAGAATTCTATTCATCTTTTCGGAATGTGCACCACGGACTGGCTTCTTTGAAAGAAAGTCATTTACGATTGGTTTAGCTTCAAATGTTTTAGATAGGTAGCATATTGCTTAGATAAACAGAAAAAATCTCCTTCTCTCCGGGAAGTGGACCAAGGGCTGACCTATTCAAAAAATCAAATTTATTGATCGATTTACTTGAAGTTCGGCAGATAGATCGAATTAGGCTTACGTTTGCAGAAAAACTGCACTGGACAAGGGACTGACCTTTTCAAATAATAAATAAGTAAAATAGGAATACTCTTCATCTTCTCGGAAAGCAGATCAGTTACTGATTTGTTTGCAAATAGTCTATTAGCTTGAAATTCGATACATAGGTAGCTTTTTGCTTAAGTAAACAGGAATACTACACTTCTTTTCGCGAAGAGGACTAGGGTTTGACCTGCTCAAAAAATTGTATTGCGGTTTTATTTATTTGAAGCTTGGTACATTGGTTGTCCTTCGCGTAGATTAACTGGAAGACTATACTCTACACTACTTTGTTTTACTTGAAATTTGGTACACAGATTACAATTTGCTTACATATACAGGTAAACTCTTCTTCTCTTCGGGAAGAGGCCCAGGGACTGATATGTTCGAAAAAATTTTAATTTTGGTTCGATTTACTTTAAGTTATGTACATACTTCTATGTGAAAAGAGGACCAAAAACTGATCCATACGAAAAAAGTTTATTTATTGCTGAATTTACTGAGAATTCGGTAAGTAGGTAGCTTTTTGCTTACTTTAACAGGCAAATAATTTTCTCTCCGGGAAGTGGACTAGGGACTGACCATCTACATATGTAGGCGGCATTTCTCTTAGGTCTCCAGGAAGACTTTTCTTCTCTTTGGGAAGTGGACCAGGGACTGACCTGTTCAAAAAAATCTTAATTTTGGTACGATTTACCTGA